CTCTAAATGGAAGAAATATTCCATTTGTAAATAGTGCAAAATATCTAGGTGTAATCTTCGATAAGAGAGTGACTTGGAGATTACACATAGAAATGATCGAAGCCAAGGCCTTCAGAACATTCATTAGATTGTACTCCCTATTAAAAAATGAGCGATTGAGCGCTAACATTAAACTAACCCTCCATAAAGCTCTTATTAGATCCGTAATGACTTATGCTAGTCCCGCCTGGGAGTTAGAGGCAGACACTCATCTAGTGAAATTGCAGCGCCTGCAAAACAAGGTTCTCCGCACGATTGGCAATTTTCCAAGGCGCACACCGGTCCGCGATTTGCACATGGCATTCAAAATCCCATACGTATATGATTACATAACAAAATTATGCAGGCAACAAGCAGAAGTCATACAAAATCATGATAATGAGAATGTTCGCAACATCGGACAAGGCGAAGCCCGCCACAGAAAGTATAAGAGGCTTAAACTTGGCGGCGGTCAGGCATACGGCCATTCAAGTGACTAGACTACCGTGGTAGCTAATAATACTAGGAAATATATATATAAAAGGGCATAATCTGCTGTACCTAGCCTGGACTAACAGAGGCTGTGTATATATTGTAATTTAAATAAGAAATAAGTGTGTATTGTAAATATGTGTAAATACAGTGGACTTATTAATACAGACTGACTAACAAATTACAGACCCGACCTCTCGTCAGAGAGGGCGCTACACATAGACAAGACAGTAACTTTCATTCAAAGCTCGACACCAAGACAGGCAGACTGACTGATCGTCAGTTGCAACGTGACTCTGACTCTGAGATGATACAGCATCAAATGGTTGATGAATGGTACACGTGACAAGATACAGAAAGAAGCGGTCATAGCCAAATCAAGATACCATCATGGCAAATACCTGAAGGGACTGACGAAAACCACGGAAAACCTTAGTCGTGTTCGTCACGATTTTGGTGATTGTGACTTGAAGTCCAGGTTGAGATTCGAACCGAGCATCTCCAAATACAAGCATAGAGTGTTACCACTGACTAATTCTAAGTGTAGGATTAATTGGATTAATGAAGGGTTAATCGAACGGGGAAGCACAATAAGTCATTGTAGGGCACGGTGCAAGGGTCGGATTATTATGGCCCACCTCTGATACATTCATCAAACCATTCATACCACCAACCAACCTACTCAGTCATTCTTCAATACACAGTGTCACTAACCCACAGAGCAGCGAAAAGGAATAAGTACAAAGCCTAACTTAATTTCAGTGTAAACCAGGTGTATGTATCTTCTGGGTAAAGAGAATGCCATTATTTTTATTGAATTACATGTATTCCACAAATCCCCAAAATACCTCAGACCTTACTTATGTGCGGAGAAATTTGCGTTTCAGTCAAGATAACCGCTCTTCACTGTAACCTGCCCACATGCACTTATACTTTGACCCCGCCCCCATCACCAGAGGCATCAGTTACTGACAATTACATTCTTGAGTAAACACCTGCGTGACCCGCCTGCACTCATAACCTGATGGCCTTGATCCACATAGAGGCCAACTGTTATGTCCTTGGGTAAAAGAATTTGCGTATGTACTGGCAATGTAAAGGAAAGAATATGAATGGATGTATGCTACACTTCTTTTCCATTAATTCTGGCAATAAGCTACATTGGCTCAAACTTCATTATATCAGAAATTTAGTTCCAAATAGAACACAGGTATCATGAAGATAAGCCACAAATCAGTTCAGTCAGTGGTCAAACTCGTGAGTTAAAAGTAAATAACTGAACTGCTAAGAGATGATTGCTGTTGAAGGCATTTTCTGAATCAGAGTTTTATCCTTTATTGACATTGCTGGTTGAACAATAAGAATTTACTGTGTTTAGCCACTGTGAGAACTTATGATTTTATAGCAGTTCTTAATTTCTGTAAAAGACAAGTAGGAGAATGTCTAAAGAGAACTTACGTACCCCTACTGTTTTCATTTTTTTAAAATTAAGGTGCTTGTAATAACTAAGTATTCAGTTTGAATACATCTGCAAGTGGTTAACACCTCCTATTTCATATTATCTCAAAGATATTTAGTGCACAAAAAAGTCATTATTAAATGTCTCTAATCTAAATTAAGAATGAAATGGCTAGTATTCTTAAAATTTTCAAGTAGCAAATTTCATGAAACTGCAACCAGCAGTTCTAGAGTTGTTCCAGCTTAACGATTGGCTCAGCAAACTTAGCACACATTCCAGAGGGTTATGAACAAGAGTAGTAAGACTGGATCAAGGAAGAGGTTGTCTCTGGAAACTGCAGTTAGACGTGGGCACTAATTGCATTTGACATCATTCAGAATATTGAAGATATATGGGGGAGTGGAGGTGTAGCTCCACCTTTTTTGATCTCAGCACTAGGAGGTGAGTGGTCAGCTTCACGCCCCTGCTGCTTTACTCCCAGGTAAAGAGCCCCTGGTACACACTGGATAGGTGGCTGGGTGGGCCTCAGTCTGGACACTGGAGAAGAGAAAAATCTAACACTGCTGGGAATCAAACACTGGCCATTCTCAGTGTGATCAGTTATTGACATGGTCATATGCAGGACTCTTTGATTTACTGTAATGCTCTTTAAAATTCTCTCAATAAACTCATAAGGTTGGCTTGCATTTTGATTTACATATTGTATCTAATTTGATTATTTATCTGGTTTGATAGTGTATGTTGTGTTACTGTTGTAGCAAATATGAATACCAAATAAAATGAATGAATGAATGAAAAGGCCATAGACTGTCACTTTACCGACTGAGCTATTCCACCTCCTGTGTATGCTGGTAATATGGATGTAATAAGTATTTTTGAAACTTATAAAATATGTGAAGGCCACTGATTGTTCTAATTGTAGGTTGAGACTGAAAAAAGGTGTCTTTGTTGTTCAGTGGTGAACTAGATAATGGTCATTATGCTGCTTCCTTTCCAGTTATATAAAGGGAAATGTTTCATATTTTTTATAAAATTTATTTATTATAAGCAAAGTTTGCCAAAAATGTGTCATGTAGAAGCATATTGTTATTCTATTAACTTTTAAACTCTGGACTTCTAACAGTGTTAGCTTGAACTGGCCACAATCTATTTAAATGCCCACTGCTGGAACGCGTTTAAATGTCAGTTCCTGTTAGGGCATTTACATTGTATTTAAAAATGCTATATCTAATACAATTTTAATGATAAATGAATGGAATTAACTTTGTTTTTATAAGAAAAGAACATAGTGCCGCATATTATAACGTAAGTTTTGAAAATATTTAGACAAAGAACTTATACTCTATTTTAAAATTTTTCTTGTAATTTTGATGCATACTGTAAAAATTGTTCCCTGCTTCTTCATAGAGTAGTTCTGCATTATAAAATCATTCCTGCTTCTAGCACTTGAAATATTTTCACATTCTCTGGTGCCATAAACCAGCTGGAAGCAATAAAATCATTTGGTTCTCTGCTGGGAAGTTTCAAATCTTTGTTGCTCTCTTCAAACATTCGAGACTTTTGACTAAAGGACAAAAAAGTGAAGACATTGTAGCTTGAGGAAGGTTACAGGTCTATGTTCCGTTCTTCAGTGCCAAGCCCTTCCACTGCATTTGAGATAGAATATTGCCCTTTCTAAAGTTGTAAACAAACACATGCATCATAGCCAAGATACAGAGTGCAGTCAGTTTTCTGTGAGTTCATGGTTAATTTGAATATTGTAGTTTCATATCGTCATAAAATGGCAATGATACGTTGTTTGGAAGATGATGACATTGAAAGGCAGCTGAAGTGCACATGGGACTATGCATTTTTGGGTGCTACAGGAGGTACCATACGAAGGCAACATTCTGTTACATAACGTGGGGGGTGAACCCAGTATACACATCAAACAGATAACTATAACATGTTATGTACACTGATTTATACTCTATTTAAAACTGAATATATAGGATAGGGTGTTTGCTTCCACTAGCGGAGTTTAAATGCCTGACTGCACAAATCGGTGTACTTCGGCAACTTCAACCATACTCATCACTGTACCGACCGGTACACTTCGGATGTTAAAGGTTACGTTTGTTATCTTAGTATAAATGCCTTTCCAAAATTTTTCAAGTTACTGAGGTTAGATATTTTTGATGAACTTTATAACAATTCCTTGCTGAAATATCAATGGGTTTTATGCTAATCTTATTTACAAAACCCAAAGCTTGCCTGGATGCCCTGACTGTGTCCCCAACATTACGGAAGTCAGTTGTTTGCAGTAGTAATAGTACGGACAACCAGGGGACAGAGAAGAGGTTCCTGTGCTTTCCCTGCTTTCTGTCTTCTGGGATGACAACATGCAATCTCGTAGATCATTAGTAACATCTTAGAGGAATGTGCTACACTTACATAATATCCATTAAGCTGTACACTGGATTTCCATTAAGTGTCTAAGAACCTTTAATACAAAGAAGACAAATATTTCTCTTCTTTTACTTTTATTACATAAGTTTAATTTTATATATTACTAATGTGACATAACTGACAAAACTGTACATTATTTCGGTACCTTAATGATCAGAATTCAACATGTGTGCCAGAAACAGCAAAGATATCAGAAAATCAAACTCATGTTCTGTTGAAATTCAGCACTTCATTCTGTATACACAGTCACATCTATGCATGTAGAATTTACAGTTCAAACGGGGTTTAAAAATAAATTATATATATAAACACATGCAATGGAATCCCATTTAATGTTTCTTCATGATTTTCCTTTATGTAGTATAAAATTTCTAAGGCCCCAGACCCTTTATCTCACTGTTACATTTCTTCAATTAAATTTCCTCAGGTTAGTGTCCCCCACAGGTACATTAAATGAGAATTTCACTATATACATTTTAAGAACATATATTTCTTACATACTTTCCAGTTCCTAACTGTACATCACAAAGAAAGCACAGATAACATTCCCATTTACAAACATATGAGTAAGGCACAAGATTGGTGACTTTAAAAACTCTCAACCTCAAACAACTGAAATATTCTTGTTCACAATTTGAAGAGGAACAGAAAATAACTGTTCCCATGGTATCCTAATAGCTGACACTATGGACTCCAGAGTAGAATCAGAACCAAATTTTAAAGTCCATGATTCATCACTGCCTGCAGCTTCATCAAGGAAATGTAAAGTCAACTGGCACTGATCTTCCATCTCCTGTAAATCACAAGTACATGTCAGTCACACATAGTAGAGAACTCTTCAATTTTCTGTTAACAGTGAAATTAATTTAATAATTTTAAATGTAGTACACAATTAAGCTTTATTACAAAGATTGCCTTTAACAAATTACTGTAGCACCTGAACGGTCTGTATAGCCATATCAAAATATTCCCAACAAAAATCCTATTTTGCAGATTTCAGGTCCCTGCATTTGAGTTTCACTGCATCACTAAAATCAACACATTCAGAATGCATTCACCATCACACTTCAGCCTCTTGGACATAGGAATGGTACCCAAAATGGGAGAGAGAGAGAGAGAGAGAGAGAGAAAGAAAAAAAAGAGAAGGTTTCTAGAAGGTGGGGCGCTTGTAGTACAGTTCCTGAATCAGTATTCCGGCTGGTGTCAGAGAAGTTTGCGTTAGTGTTTGGTGAATTTTTATAATTTGTCTATTTTTAATGGCTGATTCACACGAACAATGTGCTGCTGTGAAGTTTTGTTTCCTTTTGGAGAAAACAGCAGCAGAAACGGTTATGCTACAAACAGCCTAGAAGGAAGCTGCCATGAGTAAAACACAAATAAATGAATGGTTCTCCCATTTCAAACGTGAAATGTCAACTGATAACCAACCTCGAAGTGGATGTCCTTCAACCGCCCGAACTGATTACAACGTGACAAAAATCTGTCAGATCATTCTAGAAGATTGCCGGAATTATTATTTGGAAGTTGCACATCGGTTTAAGGACAAGTCCCAATTTTTGGCAAGGTGGTGAATGGTTCTTTCATCATGACAATGTGCCTGCCCATAAAGCGCTGAGTGTGCAGTGATTTTTGACCAAAAATGGCATGACACCCTTGCCTTCCCCCGTACTCACCCAATCTTGCCCCGTGTGACGTTTTTTATTTCCTTGGATGAAAAGAGATCTCAAGGGAAAATGGTTTGCTGATGTTGATGATGTAAAGAAAAAAATGACAGAATTACTAAAAGGCATCACCAGCAATGTATTTAAAAATGTTTTGAGCAATGGGAAAAAAAAGTTGGGGAAGTGCACTGAATCAAATGGAGAGTACTTTGAAGGTTTGTTATGTAAAAAAAAATTCAGAATTTTTTATAAACAAATTCCGGTTTTTTCGGTCCCGCCTTGTACAGAGGGATGTCACTCAGGCTATAAATCAAGCATTACTTATTTTCCATTGTGTAATCTCTAATGTAGTTGAAATGTACTTCTTTTTATTTAATATTTTTTGTAACAGTCAAGTGTGAAGTTTCTGAACTTCTATTCCCTCACAGTTTCAAGGCCCTCATTTATGTCTAAGTCTTGTATCCCCATTCAACATCTGTGTTCTATATCTCAAGCAGCTGCCATTTGTTCCTCACATTCAGTGACACTATTACTGTCACTGGCTGCTGGAATTCATATTTTAACATGTTGGGTGTATAACGCGCGACAAGTAACTTCACGCCTTATTTGATATAGTGAATTTATTGAACACTCGCTCTCACAATTACACAATTCACAATTTTACAATTACTGCCATCTGCAGTATCACAATTACTTATCCTGTAGTCACCGCCATGAACTCAATACAACTGACTTCGGCAGCTGCTACAAATCAACTCCTTGGCGACTTCTTGATTCACACTGTCACTCTTGATCACAGACTCTCAGCACATTCTGCTCTGCCGGCTTTTTGTACCGCTCCCAGTTGCCTACGTCAACAGCGGTTTCCCGCGTTATGTCACAGTAGGAAGCGCTGCCACATCACCACAGGGGAGGGAGGCGGAGTGTTGACTGGCCTCTTACCGTGGCAGCGGCAGCGCTGTTACTTCACTGCTGGCAGGGGAAGGGGGTGTCCTGCATAGCGCAAATAGGTCGTACAGCTCCCTCCTTAAGGTTGTTCATCCTGAATAGCCTAACGATGCATCCCGGTTCCTTTTCTTTGAAGGCTCTTCTTGCAGTGTCTTCTGTTGCTTCGGCTACTCCTCTTGCAGCGACTATTCTCCAGCCGTTGCATCCTCCACTCCCTTCTTAGGACTGTTTGTCTCGAGCAATTCCAGGGTCCAGCGTTCGTCAGTCCATTCTCCAACCGCTACATCTGCTCCTTTTCTAAGACCAGCTCGTCTCGAGCGGTTTCCTGCTAACGTGCCAGAAGATCCAGTTGTATCACATTCATCCATCGCACATTCGCTCTCGCTCGGGAGCCCGGTACTTCTACGTTACTGGCTCCGACTCGATCTGTTGTTTCTTTTTCCTCTTTGGAGGGGGTCGACCCCTCCACAAAGTCCAATCCTTTCTTGTCCACAACTCAACAGTAGATCTGACCATTCACTTGGTGATCTCCAGTCATGCAGTTTTCGTGAAGTTGATGTCAAAATATCCAGTGCTTTTCACTTGTACCTTCTTCAGGTCTCGTTTCTCCACATATTGAGCTGTCTGCCGCCTAGGTCCTTCACTTCATTTCTGTGTTGTAGTTGCTGTCTTAAGCCTCGGTCCCTTATGCCAGTGTTGCATTCCAGGCCTTTCCAGAGTCTCTTCCCTAACGTCTGTTTCTTGGTGATTTTAGGTGCGACCTTATTCTTGTTTCGTCCCATTCGCTTGTGTCCTGCACAGTGTGTAATCTTCCTCATGGCTGCGGTTACTTCTTTCCGCAGTCCACAATTTCTTTGGGTCCAAGATTTCCTGAAGATGTTCCTCTTAGGCCATGCCACTGTTGCATGGCAGGACATCTTCCTCCTGGTTTTCTTCTGCCATGCCACTTCCATACGGCAGCTTGTCCTTCTGCGGGCGACGGCTGATTTCTTCTTGGGTCCAGAATTCTCCCATGTTGAGTTCTTCATATTTCGCTGGTTTCTGTCCGTACGCCTTTTCTTCTTCAGTTCTCCAACCGGCATTACTTTGGCGTCTTCCACGGGGACTTCTCGTTGTAGTGATACCTCAGGTTTCATGTCCACTAAGGTCGGCTCTTCTTCTTCTCGACATGCCTCCATCTCTTGGCAGGCCATCGTCCCTTCTCTGGTATTCGTTGTCTCAAACAGTACTGAGCGGAATTCTTCCTGCCAGGCTTTCACTCCCTGTCGCAGTTTTTCTTGACCAACTCTCCACTCCTCTCGGTCAGCCTCAATTATGGCCGGCCTTTCTTTCTTCCTTGTCGGTTTTCCTATTGGCCTCCGCCTTTTCTTGGTTGGGCTCTAATTTTGCCATGATTTCTTCTCTGTTGATCCTCAACCATTTTGTGGCAGTATAATCGTTGATGCACTCGTAAATTCAATTATTCGATGAGGCATGTTTAAGTTCAAAAGCACTTCTGACACCAAATTGTCACGTGTTGGGTAGGTCACGCAACAAGTAACTTCACACCTTATTTGATATAGCGAATTTATTGAACACTCACTCTCACAATTACACAATTCACAATTTTACAATTACTGCCATCTGCAGTATCATAATTACTTATCCTGTAGTCACTGCCATGCACTCGATACAACCGACTTCGGCGGCTGCTTGGTGACTTCTTGATTCACAATGTGTCACTCTTGATCACAGACAATCATCACATACTGCTCCGTCGGCTTTTTATACCGCTCCCTGTTGCCTATGTCAACAGCGGTTTCCCGTGTTATGTCACAGTGGGAAGCGCTGCCACGTCACCGCAGGGGAGAGAGGCGGAGTGTTGACTGGCCTGTTACTGTGGCAGCGGCAGCGCTGTTACTTCACCGCTGGCAGAGGAGGGGGGTGTTCTGCATAGTGCAAATATGTCACACTATTTTAAAAACTAATATACAGCATGTGCCAAAATGTGCAGTACTGAAACTTGTGCATCTCGTACGCACATGTGCATTTGTCGATGGGGCATAGATCCAGCCGCACATGTTCCCAGTAGTGAAAAGGAAGTTGTGTTGTGCAGTTGTTGGAAATGGGTTTTTTGATGGAGGGAAAAGTATTCATAGTTGAGTATTATTTCCACTCATACGGAAGAGGTCACCAGACAACTTGTTTCTTTGGTTTTGAGCGGCCAGATGTTATCGTCCAGAAACCGCTACATAGTACACGTGTGCCGCCTCAGCACATGGTATATTAGGCCCCTATTTCATTGAGGATGAGGAAGGCAATACTCTTACCGTCACCTAAGAATGCTACAGGGACATGGTGATCTGACCATTTCTTCGTGATTTGAGAAGGTTCTGTCATGCATACTGTACTTTATACTTTATACAGAATTTCTGCCACTTGACTACACAATCCATCACTTCCATCAGAACCAGCCTACAACTGCCTCAGTCTTTATCATCACTGTGAATAATGACACTGACGATGAACATTTTGAACACTTAAAACAACTTTAACCTTTACCAGTTGCGTGTCACATTATAGACAAAGCACGTACAGACGGTTCAGTTGACTGAGCACTGTACTGTTTGGATACTAATACTATTACTCCCAAGTGAAAGTGAGGCCGCCAACCCTGTAAAACTATGAGATTTAAGATCCCCTATTTCTGGATAATAAATTGGTATCGCTGAATTTAAATACTGCCACTAAACCTGCAGTAACAGAAAATTTAAAATCCAAGTTCCTAGATTATAAAGGCTATGATAAATTTCATGAGAATGAGCCAATGTTTGCCTAGTAATTTATAATGTAACTCATAACACAAGTGTGAGACTCATGCAAAATATGGCTTTGACAGACCTGTTTAATACTTTCAAGACTGAATATGATTCAGTATATAATTATCTGAATTCTTTCTGAAATTTGATGTGTATCATTGGACAGGTATTGTACATCATTCCACACACAATAGCTCATAGCAGGAAATGAGTCTCTTCACTGTGCAACATCATCATCAACGAAGAATTGTGCACTTAGGTATGAATAATTAAAACTTTAATTTGCATCCTTAATGTTCAGTGCTGATATTTAAAAGTGAAAATGATATGGTGAAAATTGCTGTGTAAAGATATCTGCTTTTTATATACTCACAACTTCTATTAGATTGGTGATCTGACCACTGTGAGTGTGTGGAGGTACAGTTGATTTTGGAAACAGCCACTGTAAGTTATCCATCATTAGGAGGAGATCTGTTGTTGTGACTGTGATGGCTCCCATACCAACATCCTTCTTCTCTATAAATATCATGGAAATATATTCCATACAGACTATGCCCAAATAAGAAATTTTAGATTCTTATGTGGTGAGTACAAAGATCACTGTCTTCTGGGATATGATGTCATATGGTCTGGTAGAAAGTTACCAACATTTTGGAGGATCTTACTGCCTCCATGACATATTCTGCAGAAATGTGACTAACCCTCTACCAGACTACATGGTGTCGCAACCTAGAAGGCACTAACCTTTACATCCAAATGAATATCTAAACAAATAGCACTTAACACATGTCAGTTGCATTAGAATGTCTATGACATTTTTATGCCACCAAATCAAATAAACAATATCCAATTAAAAATACATAAATAAATATATTATTTGAAAGTATGGAGTACTAAAATCAGCAGCAAACAGAATTAAATACTTCATACAAGACAGTAATCTTCTGTGCCTTTAGATTTGACTTCTCTTTGGCTAGCATCCAGGTTAGAATACTAGCCAATCACAGACCAACATGTCTACTGTCCATCCTCCCGGATGTCTCTATGTAACGACCCACAGATCATCTGAAACATTCACCCTGATGATGGCAGCTGAATTTTTTCTAGAACTTTGAATACAGTTCAACAATCAACATGGCTCAAACCTAAAACCCAGTTAAACCAAAAAAAAAATGTCATCCATCCTCAGTAGCTGCAAGAATCAGGACCTATTGACTTGTTCAGATCCCAGGTGTGTATGAACTGAACCTTCCATTTCTTAAGGGTTAGGTTTCATTCTCTTCTTCCCTGTGGCTTGCCATGCAATAACTTTCTTGGTATATGATCTGGAGACATTCTGAAAATGTGTTGAAAATATTTCCTTTGATATTCCTTTAATTTTCAATTTAAACTAAATATATCCTGTCTTACATCTTCATTTATTTTTTTAACCAGTCTATTATAAAGCCTGCCATTGTTCTCAAAAAGTACATCTCTGGTGTTTTAATTTGTGTACAGGTCCATCTACTTTACAAACTGGGGTACACCATATCTTGTGTAGGCAATCTTGAAGGGATTCTGTGTAAGTATATCCAATTTCCCACCAGAATATGAATCCTGGAAGTTCACTAAAAATAGAATCCAGCAATTTCTAATGATGACATAATGGTCTATGTCATTGACAATGATACACCCTCATTCCCATAGGTGGAAAATATGTAGCTGATTCAGTGTCCAGCATTCAACTGCATACAAGAAAACTGGCACTGCCACTGTCTTACAGAATTTGTCATATTTATTTTTGTGTTCTCTGTTTCAAAATCCACTTTACTGTCCTGCCCAGAAATGTAATTAAAACAATTTATTTACAATCAGAGGAAAAACATTTAATGGTGCTGATATAATGAATGGAACAACATGCTAAATTTTCATAGATCTCCTGTCTCCACCATGTCTCAGGATCCATGAGGTGAATGAACTCTAACCTGTCACCATGCCACTTAGCCTAGAGACCCTGTTTGTCAATTATTTTGTCTTCTCAGATGTTCTCCCCATGTTTTTCCTGATCATATGTGTGTCAAAAATGCCCTAATAATCTGGTGCTAGGGTTCCATGCTTTACTAAGTTTGAACAGGTATAAGCATGGTAAAAAGAAAAAAGAATTGACAAAGGGACAAAATGTTAAGCAAACAGTGACAGAGTCAGATGATTACAAAATCTAACTTCATCTTCCTGCTGTACAGTATGCCAGTAGTATAGGACACTGAACTGACAGATTGGCCTGTATATCAGCTACATACATTCACCACAATGAGACAGGGTTCTTATGTCCATTTGATTTAATTATCTCAAGCCACAACATTCTGTAGCATCGTCACAAAGTCACCCATGCTCGTCTGTGGCACCCATTCTGATGGCAGACATTCACACTGAAATTATCATCATGGGCAAAACAGCCCTTTTCAAGCCATAGCCTTCCTTAGAAGATTCTGCCATACTTGTCTATTCCATCATGAATTAGACCATCTGATTTTCATGTATTTTTTTTTATACAGCAAGGTCATCATCCAACTCATAACCTGGAAAATCAGATCTCTGTGTTTATCCTGCCCCCCCCCCATGACAGGGTGGCCTAGTTATACCCCCAGGCACCAAGTTCCCTCTTTGTTGCCTAACCCATCTCCACACAGGACTGATACTGATACATTGACTTACTAAAGCACTGCGATTTATTTCTGTCTTCTTGTTCTGCTGTAACTGGCATTAGCTTTGCATTTGGTCTCCAAAGAAATGACATAACTAACCAACTATGCTTAGACACCACTGTAATACCAACTGAAACATTAAAGTTTATTGATGCCATCTACTAGTCACACTGTAACTAATGAGATTAGTCTTGCATTTGGTTTCTATCAAATGAAATAACAATATAAGTATTTTTACACACTGATCAATCCTACCTTTGTTTCTCTGGATGCTGCAACTGTATGAAACAGCACATGCACATATAGTTGGATCAGTGGCATCACTGGCGGCTGCAGAGAGCAGAAGCTGTTGTACTGCAAGAGTCTGCCTCTCTACCACTGCATGATCCACTTTGCACTGTTCTGGCAGCCGTACACCTTCACACAACATCAACAAAAGTTATCACTTCATGGCAGGGTTGGAGATCAACTTCTGCCCTGATAATGGAGGTAGCAGTGTCCCCCAAAATGTTGGTTACTCACTACAAAACTTCATATCTCACATATATTACCTGTTAGAAAAGAGAAGAAGTTGACAGTGTAGTTCGGATCTGGCAAGATGAATAAAAAGCAGGATGGCTGCTCTCCTCCTTCATGCAACAGCTCCATGCCAATTCCTTGCTGACATAGTAATGGGAACAGCAATATCGCTGTTTCAATGGGACTACTTTCTACTTTCCGAAGCCACTTCTCTGGATCATCCCTGTACACATACAAGACAGCAAGTGAGGTTGACACATGCAACACAACACAGGTCTGGCTGTTTAGTTTGTATGTATTGTGACACGATGCCCGAACACCAGAACAGTGCAACCAGAAGAGACGGCCACTTGGCAACGTACATATTGCAACAACAGAGAACTGCTGGAAGTGGAATTTCCTATGCAGTCCATTCCAAGGCTATATAACGACAACCAACAGGAGATACTCTTTGAAAAAATGTCCAAATGATGGAAAGAAAAAACAATAATATGGTCATGGGTCTTGATAGGACCAAAAACCAAGGTTTACTGTGCTGATGAGGGCCAGCAGCAATTTGACTGACTGACTGACTGACAGAAAAATAGACTGCCTCTGTGGTCTAGTGGTTAGAGTTCCTGACTACAGATCCAGAGGTCCCGGGTTCGATTCCCGGGGATACCAGATTTTCTGAGAAGTAGTGGGTCTGGAACGGGGTCCACTCAGCCTCATGAGTATAACTGAGGAATTATTTTATGGAAAAGCTGCTGTGATCCAGAAAACCGAGATTAACGGCCATGAGGATCCATTGCTCTGACCATGCGACACCCTCTATCTGCTAAAGTTGGCACTAACTTCACCGACAAGTGGCGGTCGCTTGGTCGGTATAGTTCGCTTGCAGACTAGTTTAGCCCGACAGAAAAATATAAGCCAAAACTGATCGACTGACTATTGGTTAACAGCTCAGAGAGAAAGGAGCAGGGGTGAGGGCCAGTTAGAGAATGCCCACTTGAGTCAACCCCAGTAGAGGAGGAGTAACCAACAGCAGTAAGACCCCTCATCTCAATGAAGAGGAGGCCCCATTTCAAAACATGTAAAAGCCTTGGAGAAAACAAAAATATGGTCATGGGTCCTGATGGGACCAGAAACCAAGACTGACTGTATTGGCGAGGGCAGCAGCAATTTACTTGACAAACTGACAGCAAAATACAGGTTGGGTTAGATGAGTTGTGGGTAGGACTCGGTTGAGGTAGTGAGACAGAAAAAAATATGGCCATGGGTCCCATGGGGCTCAAAAACAAGAATGACTGTGCTGGTGAGCGCCAGCAGCAATTTACCAGACAGACATAAAAATATGGTCATGGGTCCCATGAGGCCTGGACCCAAGAATGAATGTGCTGGTGAATGCCAGCAGTAATTTACCTCATTGACCAACCCAACAAGCAAGTCAGCTGTGAATCAGCACTTGTAGTTGGTGGTTGGCTGTAAGCATGAAGTAGAGCAATGACTAATGAAGATGTAACAGACTGTGAAGACTTTGTGTGTGTTATATTGATTTACAGAGTGTGAAGATGAGCAAGTGTTATTAACATTTGTAGTTACAGGTCATAAACATTAAATAAATCCATACAAGGCCAAAGTCATTGGATACAGAACCCGTCACATCACAAGCTTGCTAAATCAGCAAGTAGTCAACAGAACAATGCATATAAATCCAAAACAATAAATCGAGCATATGAAACCCCTACACATTACTGCAACTACATAACCTACCACATGTATATAAGATACTATACAAAATTAGAACCTATACATGGCAATAGATCAAATAATGGGTTGTAGCTAAACAAGAAACTATCCCTAATTAAAATATTCATCTAAAGTGTAATAGGATTTAGTAAGTAAAAGGCACTTAAAGCTGCTCTAAATTGCTTAATATTATGGATTAACTCCTTTATATTTAATGGAGGATGATTAAAAAGTTTAATACCAAAATAATAATGTCCTGTCTGGTAAGTTGTCAAATTTGTCTGAGGGTGATAAAAATCAAAATTACACCTAGTATTAAGGCCATTAATTTGTGATGTCATGTGATATAAACCCATACTATTCGCAACAAACATCAATAAAGAAAATATATATTGGGACTGCAATGGCAAAATTCCCCAGTCCCTAAATGCATCTCTACAAGGGTCCCTAGATCTCAACCCACTCATGGTTCCAATTATTCTCTTCTGAATTCTGAAAATGTGCATACTATAAGAAAAATTGCCCTAAAGGGACTGTCTGGATGTGCCAGACGGAAACTTAAAAAGGCAAGAACTAGGGCAAATGAAGCAGGAACTGGGGGCATTCAGCAACCAGGAAATGCAGGCTGGCCCAAGCAGGGAGAAACCCCTACTGGGACCCTTAAGAGGCCAAGGTCGGAGGGCAGTACTCTCCCCTGTGCTGTTAAGCCTGGTCATGGATGGGCTTCTGTGGGAGCTTAACAGTAAAGGTCATTTCTCAGTATGATATGCTGATGATATAGAAATCCTAATCAAGGGTAAATTCACTTACACTGTGTCAGAGGTCTTACAAACAGCCTTGCACACAGTTTGACAGTGGTGCGAAAGAACAAACTTGTCTATCAATCCAAACAAGACGATAATTATACCCTTCATTAGGAGGAGGGATATCAAGGTGTAACAGTCCAAAACCTTTTAATACTCTTTAATGGACGCTATGTTCCTCTTTAGCCATTTCAATAGAGTGACTGATTTATTAGGGAGACCCATCCATTAAGAAGTTATGACATGCTTTTCGCATTTAGACAGGAACAACTGCCTTGTTTTGTTACCTGGAGCTTGGGTGACCGCTAAAGGGACTTGGCCCATTATGAAAAGGCAAGTCTGTTGTTTTCCTAAGATGTAAATGTTGTTTTGCTAATAGGGTAGCTGTTATAAAAGTGTCTTCGAAAGGGTGTAATTAGACCCTAAACTAAGAAATAACCGCTTTCACATGTAGGGTTCCGGGTTCAATATCTTTGGATCTCTTTATTCTAAAAGTTAGTAATGTGATTGTCTAGTACTGATGGTATGATGAATTGGCAGTTAAAATCAGCCATTAGGAAACTATTCTTGTCTGGGAGAAAGGCCGTCGGTTCAAATCCTATACAGTGATGAGGTGACGCTCCCGCAGAATAGAGTGGGCAGAAGCATTTGGCACTTAGAATTCACCAGGGGCAGACGTCATAGAGCTGGTCTCTCCAAGTTTATCTAAATTTAATATTCTTTATTTGGTTCGATTAATCTTTGATAATAATAAAAGGGGCACATTACTCCGTACTTGCTAATAAAGATATAGTGTTTGCTTCTGAAATAAACAATTTGTGATTAAGCAGAAAATAGAGTATTTTATTTCTATCAGTGGACTAGCTTTAAATGTGCAGTCTCCAAGTTGACCCAGTTATTACCGTGACACAACCCTGAGAAGAGTCAAAAGTGTTCTACCGAAGCGGGCAAATAAATGAGTCAAGTGTTCTACCGAAGCGGGCAAACAAATAAATAAACATAAAGATAGATAGGCAACGGTCACGAGAAGTGGTGAACAACGGCTGCGAGAAGTGACAGCCGAAGTGCGGTTGTAAAGGGTCTTAAGGAACCAATCCTCTTCAGGCAAGCAATCCGGCTACCCAGCTACCCCTTATACAAGGAAACGACATGGAAAAAACAGATGGACAAGGCTATTAAGAAGGTCTATAAGGCCTTCTGAACATGCAGAGGCACATTTGGGGAAACCTGGAGACTGAAACCAAAGGTGGTGTATTGGATATACACTGCTGTAGTAAGACCCATAATTACCTATGCTGCCACTGTACGGTGGCCTAGAGTTAACCTTAAAACAAGTCAGGCAGAACTAAGCAAATTGCAATGGAGAGCCTGCTTGGGAATTGTGGGAACAATGAGAACAGCTCCAACAGCTGTAATGGAAATCCTACTAGGACTTCTCCCCAATGCATCTGCAGGTGGAAGCAGAGGCCAAGTTAGGTAATTACAGATTACATTGCAATGATCAATAGAGACCTAAATCTGAAGGTTTTGGACATGCATACATGGTTCAGGACATGAAAAAGGAACCCATCCTACAGATGGGATCTGATAAAATTATACTGAAACATGTCTATGATAAAAGTAGGTAGGATTACTTACTGGACACTGCCACTTAAAGGGCATCTTGTCAAATTGGGACTGACAGACAATCCATCTTATTATAGGTGCCTACAAGAAGTTGAATCAGCCACACACCTCTTATGTGATTGTGAGGCTATAGCTTACCTAAGATATTGCCACCTGGGTCAATTCTTCATGGAACCAAATGACTTTTACAACACCCCATAAATAAAGTCTTACATTTCATTCAAAGTGTAGGATTAATGAAGGGTTAATCAAAAGGGGAAGCACAATAGATCATTGAAGTTCACGGTGCAAGGGACGCTTTTTATTGCTCACCCCTCATACTCATACTCAATTCACAGGAAGCACACTGCATCTTCACTATAAAAAAAAAACTGGTAAATGCTGTTCAGGGAAATAATTGCTGTGAAGGAATCCATAAATACACTCTGTGAGAAAAGTGTAGTGTGTTTGTTAAGGTTAAAGTAGAAAGCAAGTGGTGCATATAATAACCACTGTGCTTTAAAGGGTTATCTGATAGTTAAAGGACCATGACAGATTTTAATAAACATTTATATCACCCTTTTCCATTAATCACACAGCTGCTGAAACAATTCTCATCATCTCTTTAAGGGACCACGTAGTTTCCAAAATATTTTTCATCATTATAAGATCTAAAAGTTTGTGACAATGGCATATTGCTACAAGTATTATGTTTTTTGGACATTATCCATCGTCTTGCCTATGTTTTAAAAGAAATCCTGTTTCTTTTCTTAAAACACGTTTTGGAGACTGGATTCTGTCCCTGTCCTCATGTAAAATCTACTCAGCTGGGTCCAATGGATAGAGATATAGATGGACCCAACTGAGTAGGTTTTACCTGAGGACAGGGACAGAATCCAGTCTCTGAAACGTTTTGTTTTAAGAAAATAAACCAGATGTTTTTTTAAAAAATAGACAAGATGATGGATAATGTCCAAAAACATAATACTTGTATTTTTCATCACTGCTATTCATTATAAGTATAAAGTCAAACGTTATTGAATAGCACTATGCTCCTCTGTTTTGCTCAATCAGGCTTCACCTCCCACCTGCTGCCCACTGTGAGACTTATATTAGAGCTTCCAAAACCCCCTGAAGACACTCAGTAGTCACAGCTGTGGCAGGAAAAATATGGTCATGGGTCCTGTGGAGCCTGAAACCAAGAATGACTGTTGTGTGCTGTGCTGACAGCAGCAATTTACCCAACCAACTGACAGCTCACAAAAGACATTAACCTTGAAAATATCAACTAAAATGTTTGCTGAAACACTGGAAAACTTTCAATATTCTATGCAGCATATTCCCAAACGCCAAAGTCATATATTAAATTGCAGCTGCAAAAACTTTAGGACAAATTTTAATAAGCACAATTTAAAAAAACATACAATATCATTAAAGTTTCTCAGTACATCAAAAGCCAATCATATGATATTCCTGTCAACTTGTGGCATTGGCTAGCGTAGTCATACTTACCCTTCCTCACCAGTTATTTGCAGTATATAAACTTTTCTACTTGACATGACAAGGCAGCCTGGGTATGACAGGGTTGCTGACAGTGGTACAATATGAGCCTGTAACAAGAATGGGTTATTCCACAGCTACAACAGAATTAAACGACACAGCAAATATAGATGCATATTCCAAGGAACAAGCATCTCTGTCTGCACCATCAAATAGAAGTTTTATTAACCTGTGTAGCGATTACCTTAAAAAGATAGTTGTTTTTAAATTTTTCATAGGGAGGGTTCTATTTATTTATTCATTTGTAATCTACTCACTGGTGCTGTCAGTAACTTAGTGCAAATTTTCAGAATCAAAGGTCACAACTAGCCAGTGCACTTAGAGAAAAGTACCAGATCTTTGACTGCACAAGTTGATTTTTCACCACGTTAATGATCCTACCCAAATGACATTTCTGCAAAGTGATTTTTTGACATAAAATAAATGCCAGTATTGATATACTCATTACATTCACCTGATTTGGCCTCATTAGTTCACACATTCCAAAAACTTTATTAAAAATAAATAAATAAATAAAATAAACCTTATAGGATTTGAGTTCCTCACAGCAGTGGTTATGAAGACTACCATCTTCTGGGATTTAATGCTGTGTAGTCTGTTGAAAGTCAACTGACATTTCAGAGGAACATCTTGCCTCCATCTTCAGGGGTCAAAGAATAAGCCAAGCAAACTCTCCTTGGTGCTTATTTCATGCTGGTCTCTTGCTTGGCATATTCATTGACCTTCTTTTCAAATTAGTCAGACATGAATTTCCCAACAGAAATAATGCAGTGAATGTAATGAAAAGCTATGCAGAAAATGCACTAAATCAAAAAATCGAAGTGTTCATACGATCTAAGAGTTTGTGAGAATGGTACATTAGTATATATATTATGTTTCTGGACATTATCTATCGAGTGGGACCAAATGAGTAGGTTTTACCTGAAGACAGAGACAGAATCCAGTCTCCAAAATGTTGTTTACAAATATAAACAGGATGATGTTTTAGATAAAAACAGGATGATGGATAACGTCCAGAAACATTTAAACTGTGTTTGTCGAAAAACAGCCCTAACTTAAATACAGTGTTAGACCAAATTCAGATCAGCAGAACTCCTGTTAACTGGGGGCCATGTGTGCTGTGAAGGTGAGCATACTCTCAAAAGCTTTGTGACTATGTATATATATATATGAGGGGCAGTCAAATGAAAATGGGTCAGAAGCCAAAACACATTAAAGAACATTTCTTACCTCAAAAGTAATCTCCAAAACTGTTAATACACTTATCCCACTGGGAGATAAGATGGTCAAACCCATCCTCGAAGAAGCTTGTGGGCTGTCTACGGAACCACATTTTTACCCAGAACACACATCTTGGTCCAATGCAAACCGATGTCCACAAATCTCTCTCTTCAGGTCTCCAAAAATGTGAAAATCACATGGGGAGAGATCTGGGCTGTAGGGGGGATGCTGAAGCACTTCCCAACCAAATCTCAGTAGCGTGTTGCTCACAGAGTTGGCAGCGTGGGGGTGCGCATTATCATGAAGAAGGGTAATGCCGTTCGCTAGCATTCCAGGGCGTTTTGACTTTATGGCACATCTCAGTTTCTGCAAAGTGTCTTCATAGCGCCGTGCACTGATTGTGGCCCCATGCTCGAGAAATTCGACAAGCAGAGGGCCCTTGCAGTCGAAGAAGAATGTCGTGATCACTTTACCAGAACTTGTGTGTACGGCTTTGGATTTCTTCGGTGGGGGAGAATTCATGTGTTTCCACTGTTGGCTTTGCCGTTTGCTTTTGGGTTCAAAATGGTGGCACCAAGTTTCGTCTCCAGTGGCAATACGGGACAGAAAAGCATCCTCTTCCTCATGGTATCATTGCAAGTGACCCAATGATGCAGCCATTCCCTGAGTCTTCTGTTCCTCTGTGAGATGATGTGGAACCCACTGAATGCAGATTTTGCGGTACAGCAGGTGTTTTGTCACAATGGTGTGTATGGAACCATGACTTATTCCCATCAAAAGACTAATTTCTTCCACACTGATTTGTCAGTTTGCCCAGATGTGACCATCCAACACAGCAATAACACCAGTAGTGATGACACGATGAACCTGTCCTGGGCAAGCATCATCTTGCAGTGACACATCCTTCTTGGAATCTCTTATGCCACGCCAACACATGTGAACGTGACATGCTGTGTTCGCCGTAAACAACAGACATGCGACGATGAATTTCTCGTCCTCCCACTCCTTCAGCAGTCAAAAAGCACACTACACTTCGCTGTTCTTCTTTACCCGCCTCCATTACTGATGTTGGATGACCACATGTAGCACTAACCTTACGTCCAGCACAATAAACAATCGACTAGTGTGTAAGGGCATGTTGTCACTGTGCTTTCCCAAGTCCCCACCAGATGTTCATACCATAAGCAAATTCCAGTGTTACCAACTTGCGTGGCATGTGAGTTATGCATGGTGACCCATTTTCATTTGACTGCCCATTATTTATATATATATATTGTGACATGTTGACCCCTACCTCCCCAGCTGCACGTAGCGGTAACGTAACGCTCGCGTTTTACAGAATCAGTACAGTTACTTGTCAGACTGTGTTTGCTGTTATCTTTGAAGATGTATTTTAATTACATATTTACTTCATATAACAAATTTTCCTTGCAACAGCAAAGATACTTACCCTAAGCAGAAACAAAAGTTCCTCCTGTTCTTGCTGAAACACATGCAAATACAGATGAAGTTTCACTCGATGATCAACAATAGAAAAATCTGAATATGAATATTTCACTCCATCATTTCCAATGACAGCCCCTCTACTGTCAGAAGACTCAATAACATTCTCTGATGATTTGGAAGGCAATTTAGATCCAACACTCTGCAGCAAACCTATGTAATTGAAGCCAATGTTAAGTTAAAACTAAAAGAATAAACAAGAAGTTAAAGGAAGAACTAGTAACACCTGTATTATTTCTTGCAAATGTGCACCTACACTCACTACAACAATTCTTTTGCAAATTAACTTTTTTTTTCCTTTGGCACTACAGCCCCAATTTGGGCCTTGGCCTACCTCCATGAAAGATTCTGTTTACTAGATCCTAGACATTCGGTAGGACTCCTTAGGCAGGTGATCAGTTCATCGTAAGAGGCCTCTACCTGAGCATACAAGAACGCACACGCACACACACACACACTAAACATCCACAGCCTGAGTGGGATTTGAACACATGATCCTGGCTTTCGAGTGCGTGAAGACAGTGCATGCCTTAGACCATTCGGCTACTATGATCAGCTTTGTAAATTCACTATCAGAAGCATTTTGCCTTGGTCAGCTACCTTCAGTTGCATCTCACTGAAGATAAATGACCTAAATGACCAAGCCAAAACACAGTAAATAGAGGACACCACTGGATAAATCCTGCTATAACTGAAACTATGACAACTAATGAATTGTGGCAAGTGGAAATGGACAATTGTAAGAAACACCACAGATACAAATTCAAACTGAACAGGTTGGTCTAGAGGTAACACTACAGACTTTTGTTTGGCAGGTGCCTGATTTACATCTCAGCCAGGCCAATGGCTATCCTGATTTATGTTTTTCGTGGCTTTTCTCAGTCTCACCAGGACACTGCTGGAATAGTACCTCAATTAAGCCATGAGTGCTTTGTTCCAGATCCTCTCCAATTTATCTGTCACTGCAACTTCCAACAGTATGTATATTCTCAATATAGAAAGAATCATTAAATAACCTATTACAGAAATTCAATTAGGACTAGTAGTGTCTCACTATACATTAATACTTAAATTTACTCATTAATAATACAACACCTAAAGATCTATCTTTATACATAATTTTCATTGGTAAATATCTCCATTATCTGTAAGTTAACTGTATCCTCAAAAGTTCATACAGCTTCACAATATACACATAACTTTCAGAACTCAAAAAATGTAATATACAAAATCTGTAAATCACCATCATCACTGGCAAACAACTTCTTTTGAACCATAGCCTTCCTTAGAAGATTCTACCAGATTTGATCTGGTTTTCACTTCTTTGGATTTTGCAACAATAATTCTTTTTTGCAGAGCAAGGTTGTCAGTTTTGTGTCCAACCCTCAACTTGGAAGAATAGGTCCCTGTACACATATGTATGTCCCCCACTGACAAGGTAGCCCACTTATAACCCCAGGTACTGGGTTTGCTTTTGTTGCCGTCTACAACTCACAGAGCTATGGTGGAGGTATTGTAACCTGGCTCCACATAGGGAAATATCTTTCAATACCTTTACATAACCTATCCCGACATAAAATGGCTACTGCTTACTATTTGCTATCACTATCAAATATTACAGTAAGTGTATTTTTTGTGTGCTGGTCACAGTAGCCAAGCAGTCTAAGACATACACTGTCTTCACTCACTCGGAAGCTGGGATCGTGGGTTCGAATCCCACTCAGGGCATGGATGTTTGGTGTTTGTATGTGTATGTGGGTTTTTTTGTGTTTGTGTACAGGTAGAGGCCTTGTAACAAGCTGATCACCTGCCCAAGGAGTCCTACCGAATATCTAAGTTCTAGTAAACTGAAGTGAAACAGAGACTTTCATGGAGGTAGGCCAAGGCACAAATTGGGGCTGTAGTGCCAGAGGAAGAAAAACAATTGTGCAGTTATTTACATTTTACTCAATAAGGACCTGAAAAGAAGTTACATTCTGAAGCCCTACTACAGCACAAAATTTCAGGGCCCTACGGTCAAGAGAACTAACTTTCCTCACATCTCTGAAGTACATGCTATGTTGGAAAGAGAACTACTGATAGCAGGAATTAGAAAGCAAAGGCATGACATTCATATAAAATTTCATGAATAACAATATGGTTGTTCAAAAGTTACAAGGGGACTCACATGGACCAACATATTCATAATCAAAAACCCACATATACGAAATATTCCAAATTGATTGCTCCATTTTAACACATTTAGGACTAGCGATTTAAATATTTGAATCACCCTGGGGATTAAACCTACTATCCTAACTTCTGCACTGTTCACTTTAAAAATTAATATAAAATCTCCTAATTAATTTTATGAACTAAAATTTTTGGAGAACACTTACCAATGCTCCTAGAAGTGCTTGAGGGTGTGATATTTCTGGAAACATTCGCCTTTGTGAAGTGGCATTACACAGAACTTGCAAATGTAGACATACTCCTTTTTTTTGTGAACTGTGCAAACATGGCATTGCATAGAAGGATGCTTCCCCTTGGAATGTTCACTCTTCACAATTTTAACGAGGGTATGTTTCCGCATATCACCCGAGAGTCGCCCTGGGGGGGTCCACAGGAGGCCTGCGTGGGGTGGGAGTTGATGGGCTAGGTTGCACTAAGTCTGTGTCTGACTCTGGTTCTGCCACCACCATCTGGTCTGTAGCCCAGGCCTTTGCCACATTCATCAGAAATGCTTTGTATTTCAATTTTGAATCAGGGTTTAGATTTTTGTGATTTTTTAATGTCCCGCAATGTTATTACCCACATTATCATTGGAGCTACTGTCATTTTTACTGTCTGTGGCCACAATTCTTTGTTCTCCCCTGTCACTGCCACTCTCTGAATCACCATGACTATGTGTCTCACAAGGCAGGTCAGCTAGAATACCGGAGAAGAATTTGTCCTTGATCCACACTCCACCACTAAGTACTGGCTGATACATAGAGCTTGAAGAAAGCAAAGCATTTTCCTTTATGGTGGGTCAAGATAACAGCGAGGTCAAGTTACTGACTGCTATATTCCGGAGTTTTATTGAGCAGTATTCATTGAGTTGGGTGGCGCCAGAGTAAGGTATAGTGTGTTACAACCTAACGTGTCCTAAAATCATGATATCATGCGACCGGTCCACCACATTGAAAAGCCAAAAGCATGATATCATGCGACCGGTCTTCAATGTGTTAATAAGAACATGTGGCCAAAATAACATTAACTCAGATATATCTGTAAAGAGATGTAAACTAGTAAAACAAATTCACAACTTGGTCCACTGAAAGAACCATAACCTACTTACAAAACCTAATGACACTGATGTGCAAACTTGCTCACCTTCAAGCATGCTAGCATAATTCATCCGAGAACTCAGTTTCTCTTCATGCATCTTGAAGAGCATTTCTGGGTTCTCATCTTCATGAACACTTTTCTTTACAGAGCCATCTGATAATTTCTCAGCTGTTTCATGCATTCCTTCATTTACTTTTGTGTTTGTTGAGGTGTTTCTGTCACTAACAGTTATTATGCTTTGTCTCTCTTCCAAGTTCGCTGTCATGGATTCTTGTCTCAGTGAGAGTGATTCTGAGTGAATTTCATAGGTTGTGCATATGCTGTCGGTAAGTGAACCTAAAAACAGTTAAAAATTTTCAGTAACTTGCACTGCAAAATATAATTATACAAAAATAAGAAATTTTGACAAACCAAATAAAATTCAGATGGCAGTCTTTCGAGTTGTGGAATGGCTTTATCATGCAGGTGCATACAAATGTTCTTGAGGAAAACAACACTTTCATCTTCAGTGTTAAAGTATATATAGTGAAGAATGGGCCTACTGGCCTGGATTAGGGTACATTTCCTCACCCTCCCCCATTTATTTAGGTGACCACTGCCCTTGCAGTCTACCTATTTAACTTAATTAATTATTCAGGCTACACACTTCAAACTGAAGATGGAAGCAGCTTGCTCCTCCAGAATGTTGGTATCCACCTATAAGACTACGTTCTGTTACAAACCACAAGAATACAATCCGAAAAATCACTAAGGAAACTCCAAGACTTATATAAAACATACATATCAGACTTCAAAGAGGATCTGTGAGAGATGTTCTGTTTTTAAATATAAATAGGATGACAGGATTGGTGTATTATCAAATACACTGGTTAATATTAACTTACTGGAAGAACTGCTCTCTGTGAGACCGGTAAGTGTGACCACGTGACTGGCTGCTTCAGGCACAACTGGCTGTTGAGATGTGACTGCAACTGACACCATCTGTTTCTCCTCAGAGGACCGACTGCTTGCAGGAGCAACACCACCTTGCAGTCTACACACAATTGTACTATGTTATGGACATGAGGAATATATGTTCAAGGCTTCCTATGTTTCTCTGTATTAACCAGTTCACATCCTTTAAGTGTAAATATGCTGTGTTGTAAAACTGGCCTGTTTCACTAAGAGCACATGAATGTGTGGGATATTTTCACTCATCTGTTTCATCAAATTGTAACTGTTTCTTTGCTCTAACATGGCCATAGTATTGGCATCTGATGAAGAAATCTCTTAACTAGTATTAATATTTATTGTAGTGAAGGAGTTCTGTCTCATTTTGGTAAAAAAGCTACTAATGGTATAGTTAATGCATATGAAAATGTTTCATGATATTACAGAAAAATTCATTTGTAAAAATCAGTTCAAGTAAAACTATGCTTCCTTATTGCATAGATTACTGATCCCACAAATAAATTACTATTATGTTTGCTGTTATTTAATTTTTGTGAACAAATTCTATGTGAAATTTGTTGGATATAACTACCAATTTTCACACCATTTTGAACTGCTGCCTTAAAAACAATATTCCATCTACGACATGTAGGTATGTTTGTGATCTTTCTCCTTACCAAAGTTCACATGTACTGTTCTACAGAAGTTCATTATTTATCACCAACAAATCAAAAGCTAAAGTTAAGTTTCACACACAATGGTATTTTGCATTCTACAAAAGAATTAGTTTAAACAAGTTGCATATTCTTCACAGAGTTACTACCATACATCATACCAGAACCCTCAATTAAGTGGCAATTACATTACTCCCACCCCACTTCACAGACAGCCCAGTGAACTCATAAGCCTTTTTCTTTCCCTAAGAAGGGATAGTGGACAGAAAATTGTCACACCAATACACTTCCTCATATAGTAAAAGATTCAACAGTAGTTCATTCTACCTAGCATGTTCATAAAGCACCTCAATGCTGCTCTGGCTGGGATTGCTAATGATCTCAATGTCACTATCCCACTGCTTCACTGCCACCCTCATATTGTTTGGAGAATCTGCAAATGGATCCAGAGAGGCTGCTGAACCTGTGACAAACATAGGAAAGTACAACTGTAGCACATCTGGCCAATAAAATGATTTAGTCTACATACAGTCCCAACTAACTGTGTGCAGATTAACAGATCTGTGGCTTATGTGTGCAACCTTGTAGGCACAGCACCCATTAAGTTCACTCACTCCATCAATCTGCCTGCATGTATGAAACAGCTCAATAGACTGATGGGCTGCATGCACATAACAGCTCAACAGACTGGTGGGCTGCATGCACGAAACAGCTCAACAGACTGGTGAACAGATTTTCATGAAATCTGATACTGGATAAGTTTACAAGAGAGAAAAAAACTACTGAGTCATTTTAATTATTGTTTGGATCAATCTATTTTAACAACTACTTTACATGAAGAGCTGCATGTGCTTCTGTATGTATCTCAAGTGTAACTAGCTAAATATATGTTGGAGTAACAAGAGTTGTAGACAAAAAATTAAATACACATTTTATAATCAATATGCTTTTTCTAGGAGTCCAACTTTAAAAATAATTAAAATAACGGAAATTATGCATACACTTCTTAATTTGTATATTTAACAAACTATAAACACATGTTTGTGACTAGACAGAGGATTCGAATTGGTAATCGGATTTACTGGACCCTTGAAACTTGAAACTACACGTAATTACAGTGCTATCGCTAATTCACACAATCTAAAATCCACTACAGCACCCACTCTCAGTCTGCTGTGTCTTCACCAGTTGTCACCTGGTAACAGCTCCCAATGCCATAGATTCCTCAGCTTCACGGTTCTCAGTTCCTGCCCTCCCTGGCTGATGATTGTCTCACACCTACCATGGCCACAAACTCTGGCCATTGATTCCTAGTCACATCTGGCCTCCACTGCCTGATGACTGCCTGTCTCTGAACAAACTTAAAACCTGAACTGGCTCTCCTTACATAGCCTTGACACAGACCTCATAGAAAACACCTCTTCCAGCAACTCGTCTACTGTGGTATTGCCTCTGTCGCCACAGTAACCAGCTGTCACGTGATATTTAAAGGGCCATTCCCTAGCAAAGGCCGTCTCTGCTGGTTCCACAAATCTGGCTTTGAGTCCTCATGTCACAATATCTTAGATTATCCAAGTTTTTCAACTATTGTGTCCTTGCCTTTCATTAACACAGCCAATCTGGAGTACAACAAATTTAAATGGTGTCTTATGCTGAGAAGTTTCCATTAATCCTGACTGAGATTAACTCTTCATAAGGCACACAAATGAGCAGGTGTCTCCTCACATTTTCACTTGTGCATGGAAACAGATCCAGATTCTGAAACACTTGTGTTCCATTCAGAACACCAGAAAACAGTCACAGTTCAGAATCAGAGTATCCTAAGTGTACCGCTGTTAGAAACCTTAAGAACTGTCTTAATATTAAGTTTGTCTTATAAGTGAAAACACTGCTGACATTATACAGCCACATGAAAATTCAGACACTGAATCATAGCGTTGAAATTATTACTGTTGAATGAAATCCCAGGTTACATATTGCTGACCACAGCCTTTTGCTGATTTCAGTTATTATGCACATGTTCCACAGTGTGGCTGAATATCAAACATAAGACATTTATTCTTGTAACTTTCAAGAACGTGATTTTTTATTTAAGATTGTCACGTGTATTTTATAGCTAGAAAATATCATACCATAATTATCACATAACAAATTATTAGTGCATTGGTGATGAGGTACACTATTCAATGCAGCTGTACAGCCAACTGTACATGACAGGAAATGTTAATTAACATTCCTACACAAGTGATATGGAGTCATGATACCTCAGTTGATACAACAATTAGGCTATGGGTAGGGCAGCCAAGGTACTGAGATCTGATTCCCAGAAGAGGCAAGAGATTTTTCTCTTCCCTGCATTGCCCAATCTGGCTTTGATGGCCTCTCAACACAACACAATGGCTACCACATGCTGTTTCCCTGAGGGAGCATGACGCTTGACCACTCACCCTGTCTAGTTCCAAAATTAAGACTGGTAGAGCTATACATCCACTACTCCATACATCTCTGTAGTGTGTTGCTTAATTAAGCAGACATAACTTTGTCTTCACCTTCACTTTATTTGCACAGGCTTCTTTCAATATTTCTTGATGCTTTTAAGAACTGTATAGTAGTTCAGCTTGGAGTATGTTTGTAGATTTACCTGGCACTCGTTCCTCTTATGTACACATCAACTCTCACTTCTTTCCTCCTTTTATTTCATTGTTTTCTTCCCAAAGTCTTCCTCTGGCATTCTCCTCACCTCAGTTCCTTGTTGCATCGTGGCAGAAGACTAACCAGCAGCATGCCCAAACAATGATTCGTCTTGCATACCTCCTTATGATGCCTCATTTCAGGCCCCTGGTAATGTGGTTTTCAACAGTACTTCAACTGTTGAGGCTGGCGGGTATCTTTGCTTTCATTGCCTAGTAAATGGGTGTCTCTGTGATTCTTCTGCAATTCCAGCATTCCACAGTTCCTGAATTTCTGACATCCTGTCACAGCATATATTTTCTTTCCTGTTTATATCCCTGTATTGTGAGGCTTTTGAGTATGGTAACAGTACTGTTGCCAGGGGAAGTGCACCGGAATAAAATACACCCAGTCACCAATGTGTTAAGTAATGGCTATACCAGCAATTTACTGAAATATTTCTGGGATTCCTAAAAATCAGAACAGTAAACTGGACATAACAGATGAGAAGGAAAATTTACCATGCTAAGAGTCCAAGTGGAAATCTGGCATCGCATATTTCTTCTATATTATGGAGTGAATAAACATGATGAAAGGGGAGAGGAATATCACTATACTTTACTTTCAAGAAGCAGCTTCTTAATTTCAATTCTAGGTCGTGCCATAGCTCAAGCGGTTAGTCGCTGGCTTCCCACCGTGGCAGCCCAGGTTTGATCCCAGGTCTGGTCAAGTGGGATTTGTGGTGGACAAAGTGGCGATGGGGCAGGTTTTCTCCGAGTACTTCGGTTTCCCCTGCAAATCTTCATTCCACCAATTGCGCCACAATCACCCTCATCTATCATCTGGAGCTGGTACAATAGCCAGAAGTGACCGCAGTGCAAGGGACTTAGTCCCACCCAACTAGCAATAAAAAAACTTCAATTCTAGATCAAAAGTCTGCTCCTGCAAAGAATATTATCTTGCACCATAAAATGTTCATGATAATTTACTGTTCAGCAGGGAATTCATTACATCTAACTCGCTGTGGAATCTTGCAAATAAACTGTGTAGACCAGTTCACAGTAGAATCTTTATGATACCCATTTCAATCTACAGAATATTTCTTAAACTGAATAAATGCTGATAATTTCATGAAAGTCAAAAATAAAAAATATTATAAAAAAAAAGGGAGCAGTAAAATAAAATTATGAAATACACAGAGGCATTTAATACATTTCATACCAGGGAGGTGAAGTTCAGTTCCTGTCTGCTGGCCGTTTTACCCAGAATTTCTCCAATTGAAAAAAACTAAAATTTTATAAATCTTCTATGCCATCTACAAGCAAGGTGATACAACTAAGCACTCTTCTGAAGCGTGCAAGAAAAGAACAGACAGCCAATAGCACAGTGCTCATTAAAAAAATCCCATGTAAAAACATCAAAGGCCAGAGTGCATCAGTAACAGCATATCTGAGGTCAGCTGAAAGTGTATTATAAGAATGGCATACTGCAAACATATCTGCACACAGTCTGTTAAGGTGGTTTAATGTTTTCCTGCTGACAGCTCATTTTGTAGCAGCAGAACATGCAGCAAGCAGAGATTGGTAAGCTTGATGGAAGCAAAAAGAACTACAGGAGGACAAGTTAATAATCATGAGGAGTACTATCTTCTGGGATGTGACGCTGTGTAGTCTGGTAGAAGTTTAATGATACTGTGGAGGAACATATCACCCCTGTTTTCAGTGTAAGCCAAGGCAAGTAACATTCCAGAAGACAGTACCTCAAATGTGACAAAGTTAAGAATCTTACGAGAGGGCTGCTGCTGAGCTTCATTGTGATGGATCATCGCTGTCACTTGGAGTCTGTCCCCACCATACATCACTGTTGATGCCCCAGTGTCACTCACTGGTCTTCCTAAGCAGTACATGTAGAGCATGGGGTTAGCTTGTGTTAGTTAGAGGTCATGCAGTTGCATATTCCTGGTCATCACATTGTTGACGGTGACTCCAGCATATCTATCACTCAATTAACATGTTCAATGAAAGTATCTCAGTCAGCTGAGTGACTGGCTATGGACTGGATGGTTGGGTTCAATTTCCAGCAGGGGCAGATATTCTTCTATTCACAAGAACAGCCAGACCAATTCTGGGGCCCACCCAGCCCCACTCTGAGGTGGAGTCAACAATGTTGCCAATTCTGCTGCACAAGATGGTGAGATGTTTATGATGACTGTGATTCATGGGAGAAATACACCTAACCCATGGTGGAGAAGTGCAATCAACATGCACTGCCTGTTGAACCTGAACCTGATATAATCTTCACGAGCACAAATTTATAAAACTTATCATATAAATTTCAATCAATCCTGTATTATTATTATTTTATGTTTTGACATTGAATTCTCAATGCAGTGCATATTCATGTCACAAAACGTTATGTTATACAGTTTAAAAACGTGTTTAGACCAAATCAGAAAACTGTCACACCTAAGAGACAATGCAAGACACATTCTATATCTATGTGATTCAAAGATTAGATACTGCAGGGACATTTATGTTAACTAAGGACCTTAAGAGCAAAATCCTATACTTTACAAAAAAAAAAAAAATTAGAATAAACTTGAGATCTTCAGACGTCTCACCAATCTTCTCCTTGAGACCACCATCTCAAATTGCATCCTTGACGAGCGAGGTGTCAATAGTTCAAAATATGGTTATCAATAATGACAAAGCTTTGAATAACTAAGCTCTTTTAGACAATATAAATTCTCAGTCATTCTAACATTCCTGTCAAGATGGTATGTAAGAACAGAAATTACCAGACTAAAGTTTATTTACAATGAGATGGTGGGTCAGGGGAAGGAACACTTGGTGCCATTTATGTCAAGGGAAAAATATTAATTACTAACAGGCAATAATTCTGATATTCATGCAAGTAAATGTGACAACAGAGGTAGTAACTTAGAACTTCACAGTAACAGTACTAGTGAGAATGTTTCAGGTATTAGTATTTGAACCAAGCATACACAAACCATGGGCGGAAGAGAACGATGGATATGTTTCAGTATCAGTAATAACAAACTAGCAGTTATATAAATAATATAAATATACTGGAAAAGAATATTCCCTGGATAATCCACTATATTCTAGTCTTGAAATAATTCAGTTACCTGGATTAGTCTAGGAGTTACAAATTTTTGTTAGGTACCTTTCTTATCCCTTTCTGTTTTAAGATGTTTGGCTAACAAACAACTCCATGGAGCTGAGCCTTTCTTGAGAAGCTACCACTTGTGCAGCTACTCAAGAATTTCTCAACATTTAATGGAGCCCAAAGGCTCATTATCATGTTCACAACAGCCCTTTACCAGTCTCTATCCTCAGCCAGATCTATTCAGTTCATAACAAACCATCCGATCTCTCTATGATCCATTTTAATAATACCCACCCACCTACATCTTTGCCTTCCTAGTGGTCTCTTTCCATTTAGCTGTCTCACCAATATCCTATATACGAGGTGCAATCCAAAAGTTCCCGAAATATATTAATAAAAACTATTACATCTTACCTAGATCTTATTCTGCACCATCACCTTCAAAGCAGTCCCCTTGGGAGGGCATACACCATTCCAGTGTTTCTGCCAATTTTAAAATGCATCCTGGAAGTCTTTCTTGGTTAGGGTGTTTAGTACCGTCTGCGTTTCCGCCTGAATTTCCTCATCTGTATCAAATCTTCACCCCTTCAACTTGATTTTCATCTTGAGGAAGAGAAAGAAGTCGCATGGAGCTAAGTCTGGCGAGTACGGTGGATGGGGAACAACTGCCATCTTGTTTTTAGCCAAAAATTCCTGCACAATGTAAGCCGTATGCGGTCGTGCGTTGTCATGGTGGAGTACCCAGTCGTTCGTGCGCCACTTCTCTGGACGTTTTCTCCTCATGTT